CTCGTGCCGTTTCGTGCTCCGCACGCGCAGAGCTCCTGCGGGGTTATCGCACGTGCAGAAAGACTAAAGTTCCCTCGATGCATTGCGGCAGTGGTGGCGTAGTCAAACTGGCTGGTGAGATCGGTCTATTAGCTGCGGAAATTAATCAGTGTCACCCACGGAGCGAAGAACAGAAAACCGTATTTTCTTGCTTGCGCTAGTGTCTATATCTTATAAAAATGAGACAAATCGAAGGTCAAAGTGCCTCTCAACTCTCCACGTCGCCTTTCGAGTGACGTAGTCTGGGGGATCACGTGGTTTCCCCTTGGGTTCTTCAGAAACCCCACGCGCTTCCTCCTTGATTGTCGACTTTTAAAGGATTATCATCGTCGAAGTTCGCGGCGAGCGATCGACACAAAAGACGGTTGGCCACGGGGGTGATGGCAAGTCTAGCAGCGGAGAGGGACAGGTTTTGTTCACTTCCGTGTACCCCCAGGCTACGTCACACATCAGTTCCGTAAAGGGGTATCCACACGAAGGAGAAATCCGCCCCTTTCCTCCGCGGAGCGCGCATCACGTGAGACAGACGTCATCCCTTTTTGACGCCTCGCGGCGCCGTTCTACTCCGTGGCGGAGGCGCGGAGGCTTCGTGCTGTCAGCACGAAAGCCCCAGGTGCACGCGGCGGAGCCGGGGACGGAGTTTCCCGGGTTGTTGACGACACGAGCTCCGCCCGCGGAGTTCTCCTTCGTGTGGATACCCCTTAAAGGGGTATCCACACGAAGGAGAAATCCGCCCCTTTCCTCCGCGGAGCGCGCATCACGTGAGACATACGTCATCCCTTCTTGACGCCACACGGCGCCGTTCTCCTCCGTGGCGGAGGCGCGGACGCATCATACTCTTAGCATGAGAGCTCCGCAGGTGCACGCGGCGGAGCCGGGGACGGAGTTTCCCGGGTCGTGACGTCACGACATCCGTCCGTGGAGTTCTCCTTCGTGTGGACACCCCTTTAAAGGGATGCTGAACCGAAATTTTGATTCCACAAAACATGCGGTAAAAGCGTGCAACGGGATGCTGCAAACACCAAAACATCACTCATACAGCGATATCTCGAACGGATGACCGTATTTTTCAAAAAAAGGAGGGGCATTTGACAGAAATGTTCATGTCATTTTTCTCCGACAAGGAGAGGGAACGGCCTCGCGTCTTCTCCGCCTCGCCGCCTTGAGGGAGCGAAGCGAAGAGAGGAGGAAACCAGGTATCTTCACGGTCACGCGCCTCGTCAGCCTGGTTCAATCCCGACCTCTTTTTCCAAAAATACGGCCGTCCATCCGAGATATCGCTTTACGAGTAGTGTTGTAGGGATTGTAGTGTCCCGCCTACATCTCCTGCATAGTTTTTTCTGAAATCCAGATTTCGGTGCACCATCCCTTTAACCACCACAAGCGGCTGCAGATCGGCAAATATTTCGTTTCCTTCTTTGCGATTACGCACCGGAATAGCAGTTTTTCGGGGCAAGGGGACGAGTTTTTGGTCACTTGTGCTTGGATAAACAATATAAAAAAATACAAAGTGGCCATTCTTTCAACACTAAATTTGCTACACCACCCCTTTAAGGGCGCTACGGTTGGGTAACCTCCCCAAAGGAGTGTCAGACCTCCATTGAATTCAAAGAATGGGAGGGGGGGGGGGGGGGGCGGAGGTCAGAGACCCCTCCCCTCCTCCCATTCTTCGAATTCAACGGAGGTTGAATTCAAGGGGGGGGGGGGGGGAGGGGGTCCGGGACTAACCCCCCCCCCCTCCCCCCCGACTCTAAAATGGTAGTGCAACGATTGTAGCGTTTAAAGAATTGGCAGTTTGTATATTTTATATTGTTTGTCCAAGCACAAGTGACCAAAGATGCGTCTCCTTGCCTCGATAAACTGCTAACCCGGTGCGTAATCGCAAAGAGAACGAAATATTTATTTATTTATTTGTAAATACTGTGCGCCCTTCTGGGCGCTTTACAGGAGTGGAACGTCAGTTTTATATCATGCAAGGTTATATACATTTCTTAACACATCTTATATTTCATATGAATTTGCTAAACCGCACTGGTACACATCACGCTACACAAGCTATCAATGAATCTAACCAAGAAAAGAACACTTCTTTTACACATTCATAAACAGAAATGGAGAGTCTAATATAATTCAATTAAACATTTCTCGAATAAGGCTAATGAGTCACAATTCACAACACTTTCGGGAAGCTTGTTCCACCTTTCAACTGTTCTAACAAAAAATGAATACTTGTATGTGTCATTATTAATTCGCGGAACTTGCATAGCCCTATTGTGTACCCCCCTTACTGGTCTAGTAATACGTGGTTGTAAAAAATCAGATGTGTCCATATTTAGTAAGTCCTTTGAAAACATATAAATAACCTTTAGCCTTGCTATTTCTCGGCGGGTGTGAAGAGGTTGGAGACTGAGCTGTTCGAGCATGGTACTAACGGAGTCCATTCGGCGGTATCTCGAGAGGATGAAGCGAGCAGCCTGTCTTTGTATTTTTTCCAATTTTTCGATTCGATTGTGTCGGTACGGATCCCACACCGCGCAGGCATATTCTAAGGTGGGCCGTATAAATGTTGTGTATGCAGTCAATTTCACCTGACTTGTGGTTTTGCCTAGGTTTCGCTTCAAAAATCCCAACTTTTTGCGAGCCGTACTGCACACATTGTCGATGTGGCGATTCCATGTGAGTTCGGTTGATATCGTAACTCCTAAGTACAGGGTGTCACAAAAGTAAATTTACACGGTCTTTTTTACCGCAAAAATAAACTAGACATCGCCAAACGCTCATTCTCCGCCCAAAGGTAGCACTAGAAGTCACAACCAGATGCCAAAGTTTCAGCCCGATCCGATAAGTTAATCAAAAGTTATAAGTGATTTTCTGAAAATTTCAATGGGAAAATGGAGCCCATTTTTGCCCGTTTTCGGTTTCTGGTGCCATAGAGCCCCATGTGTTTGAAAACTCCGTCGGCCGCCATTTTTCCATTGAAATTTTCAGAAAATCACTAATAACTTTTGATTAAGTTATCGGATCAGGCTGAAACTTTGGCATCTCGTTGTGACCTCTAGCTCTACCTTTGGGAGGAGAATGAGCGTTCGGCGATGCCTAGTTTATTTTTGCGGTAAAGAAGACAGTGTAAATTTTCTTTTGTGACACCCTGTACTTAAAGTGATCAACTAGAGCTATGGGATCGTTTCCAACCCGATATGTGTAGGGTAGGATGTTCGCTTTTTTGCTAGTGATTCTGGCGGATACAGTTTTATCTGGATTAATTTTCATACCCCATTCTCCACACCATTTCTTAACAGAGTTGATAGTCGAGTTTAAGTTTTCTTGATCCATGGGGTTGCGTATTCTAGCATAGAGCAAGAGGTCGTCCGCAAACATCCTAGCTGTAACATTGGGGCTGAGATCATTCACGATGTCGTTTATGTAACATAAAAACAAGACTGGACCCAGCACCGATCCCTGTGGGACCCCCGATGTAACCCTGCGGGTGGTCGACACTGCTCCGCTGACAGTCACAAACTGTGTTCTGTTAGACAAGTAAGCCTGGATCCACGAAATTACCGGCTTATTAACGCCGTATTTTAATAGTTTTTGTATCAGTCCATTATGTGAAACTCGGTCGAAAGCCTTCGATAAATCCAAACAAACCGCGTCGATTTGGCCTCTCTCGTTCGAAGAGCAGGAAATGTCACCAAATGCACCTAGTAATTGTGTTACTGTTGACAGACCGCGCCGGAATCCATGTTGGCTCTTGTGAAAAATGTTATTTGTTTCGAAAAAAGCAAAAGATTTTTAGAAATTATGTGTTCAAAAAGTTTGCAGCTCGTGCATGTCAATGAAATGGGACGATATTTGGCTACATTTTGTTTGTCACCGGATTTGTGGACTGGAACAACCTTTGCACAAAGCCAATCCGAAGGAACGCTGTGTTGACTGAGCGACGCTTTGAATATAATTGTTAAGTATTTGGCGACCCATTCCGCATATCGCTTCAAAAATTCATTAGGAATCTTGTCTGGTCCAGCGGTTTTCTTTGTGTTAATATTTAACAAAAGTGAAAGGACACCGGCCTCTGAAATATCAATGTCTGGCATAGACGCAAGTACGCCTTCGTCGTTAATGCCGATATGCAGCCCCGCCTGCTGGTTAATGGAACTTGGGGGATACACGGAAGTGAACCAAACCCGTCCTCCTCCGCTGATACACTCGCCATCACTCCGTGGCGAACTGTCTTTTCTGTCGACCGCTCGCCACGACCTTCGACAATGCTAATCCCTTAAAAGTCGATAATCCCGGAGGAAGCGGCTGGGGTCTCTGAAGAGAGAACCCAAAGGGCGACCCCGTGATCCCCCATGTAGTCACTCGAAAGGCGACGTGGAGAGTTGAGGCACTTTGAGCTTCGATTTCATTTTTTCACATAAAAACTAGGACTCGTCAAAAAATACGGTTTTCTGTTCTTCGTTCCAGGGGTGAAAGATGAATTTCCGCAGTTAATTGTCCAAAATCTGAAAATCGTTGCATCGCCCCTCTAAGAACTGGTTACTTCGATTTAAATGTTACCCGTTGAAGTACAACACATTGCATGAAGAAGCGAGCATCAGTTCTGTACAATTTGAAAATCCACCCTGATATGAAGTGGTAGGAAAGGATCTTTTTCAACGTATCTTAACTTCAGGGGCAACTTTTGATGTCGTGCATAGTGCCACAGTAAGGGTGTGCGAATAGATGCGGTGGAATAGTGCTGCATCACTCATATTCACTCAAGTTCAAAGAAAGCTCGGGTTTACCGACTGTTGAGTGCTACAAGGAGACGGAAATAGGCCACGTCGTAACAAGAGACAAAGACCCATAAAAGGGCAGGATTTTTCGGGACGTACGCAGAATGTCAAGTGAATAAAATCAAACTAATGCACCGAGGTAAACGACCCTTCTGTGCCTATAGAAGGACCTGGACACGTGAATTCTGCAAAAAAGAAAAGCTTTATTGCAAGCAACAAATTTAATGTGTAAAGAACAGGCACCTAATTAAAACGAACACTTACACCACGTCACTCGGGTGTACCACTACTAAAAGGAGGACGACGATGGATTTCTTTAGGTTCCTCGTGCTGATGGCGGGGCCGAAAGGATAACCAATCGAGGTCGTATCCGTTGTCACCCACGTAGCCAATCGTGAAGGGTATCCGGCGACTGCGATGCATCTGGGAATTCCCTGTCCGTGACCGGTCCAGGTTCGGCCGCTGCGTCACCGACCTCTTGTGGTAGCGGGAGGACATATGGTCTTCATCGGGCTCTTTGAAGTAGCGAGGCCTCGTCGAGTGTCGACGAGGATGCCCGCGATGGACGGCTCTTTCGTGCTCCCCGTCCTTGAGGGGGTGTTCGTAGTCGATGACATCGGAACTGTCGTCAATGACGCTATGGTAGGGAGCTTGAGGGACAACGTAAGAGTCGTGTCCAGGGCGGTAGGAGGCTTTGTGGTACGAGGCGTGGACGTGCTTCGATTGCGGGTAGAGGTCGTAGAGGGTGCCCGATGGCACGTCAGACTTTGAGGGCCTCTGATCTGCGAAAACCATGTTGACTCAGAAATGCAATAGTAGAGACAGTTCAGCCGCATTCACACTGCTTATACATTTATGCGAAAGATGTTCACTCTAGACATAATGGCAATCAACCACAGACACGCCCCACACACGTTCGACGCACGCTTGTTTCATAAATTCGACGCTTCGTACATGTATGCAGATGCTATTTGCACGACCAATGTGACGAAGTCATACAGGAAAGAAACGCCTCACAACGTCTACAGACCTCGTAACTTAATTTAAGTATAGCGGAGGCAAACAACGCAAGGTGATTAGATTCTGAGCGGTATTATGAATGGCGCCCTTTGCGAATTTTCAGCTCAATTAAAAATTTACTAACAAAAAAAAAAAAAAGGGTGTGGGTACGTTTATACAGCCTGTCCTTATTCTGCCTCAACAGGTGCGGTACAACTGGTAGCCTGGAGTCTTTAACGTGCATCACGCAGTAGTGGTACACAATCACACGCCGGTATGATGCTGATCCAGATTAACAGGTGCTCTTTCTGAACCAAATTCGTGAAGACAGACAAAAGCAACATCCATGTCTGCAACAATATCCGATGGTTTTAATCCCTGGATTTAGCTGACACACATGTTATGTGAAAGGAAGAGTTAAAAAAACACTTAAAATATCTGCAGAGCTTTACACCAGTGACATTGCATTTACAAAAATTAAATTGAAGGAAAATTATAAAAGACGCTTACCTTCACTACTCCTCGGTCGTGCCAGCGCGACGACGGCAAAGGCCAGAAGAGCGACCACGGGTTGCATGGCGTAGGACCTAACAGAGCACAAATATAGCACGTTAAAACCCCGAACAGAAAGCATTCGGGTACACCGTACACCGTGCCCACGAAAAAAAACCACTGCCCCACTGTACCTGAGTCGACCGACCGACCGGATAGCTTCGCGTTACTGAAAGCGAACAACTCGAAGCGACGGCTTATACGGAAGTGCCTTCGAAGCTGGTTGGTCGAAGGAAGCACCACGTGATGCGTCCAGATAAAAACAAACAAATAAAGAGGCATGCTGCTGCGTGTCGTGGACCACGGGTTGACACGATCTTTTCCAGACAGTTCTGCCTTGCTCATTTTCAGCTTACGATGGACCGCGTCGGACGCCATACGAGCCATTCCAGCCAATCCAAAGCCGTCAAGGCATCACGTGACTATGTGCCCGCGCATCGCTACCCCTCTTCGTAAGGCCACGTGAAACTCACACCGCATCGAATTGGCCTAGATGGGCCATAGCGTCCTCCGAAGTTCGTCGTCAAACGACCCCGGACGTATGGTTACAGCAGACCGTGAACGCGGGGTTTGAGTCTTATCAATGGATCTATAGGTGAAAAAGCGAAAGGAAGCTATCGGCTTCACTTGACATTTCGGCAGACGCCAGCTCCGCAGATAGTGCGTCAATGGCTCAGAGTCACGGGCTGTGACGGCAGCATCCGCTTGCGACGTGTGTGGGTCTGAGTATAGAATCGCCGTGTCGTCGTTTCTTTTGAGCTGATAACCTTCCGGCGGACTGAAGACCTTCCTGTATGGTCCCGAAACTGACCCGTCGTATCTTTGCTCGTATCAAGCGGGCAGCAAATGGCTCAGTGACTCGGGTAATATTGAACATGACTCGGGTAATATTGAGCTCGCTTTTTTCCGAAAAGCTAAAGCGACCCAAATGTCCCCCCCCCCCCCCCCCCCCCACCGAAAAAAAAAAAAAGGCCACATGGTCGTCGTTATCAGCGCACAGGCCCGGTGAGAATATCGGAATTACGCTCTTTACAATTAAACGTTATAGCCAGCAAAAAAAAAAAAAAAAAACGATTAGTTTGTTGCCACACCTTCAGATGATTCTCAAGCGAACAATGTGAGTCAAGTTCGTTCGCTATTTATGCCAGAAACACGTACCGCCTGAGAGATAAAGCTAGGAGTGACCATTAGAAAGTATACAGCCACGATACTTCTGAACTAAAGAAGAGCGTTCGAATGCATTCTCACACATATTAAATATGAATTATATAACAAAAAAATCGTAAAAACTGTAAATATATTACAAATTTACATTTGGATTGTTTTACTAGTGTGCCTAAACACCGTCCGTCGGATATTCGGATATAGGATGTTTGCTGACATCATCAAAATTCAGCGACTTACCTTGGCAACACTGCTTCCCCTTTTGAGAAAGTTTACCAGAGGCAAAGGTGTTCGGTAGATGGTGGGGCGTAGTCAGTCAGTCAGTCAGCAACTTTATTGAACCTTATTAAATGGGCTTATGCCCAAAACGAAGGTTCGTTAGGGAGGAGAATAGGGGAGGGATCTTCTTTGCGACAATCGGGTCTTTAACCGATGCTCTATTTCTAGTGTCCTTAGAATCACTGCCAACTGTGTTTCGTAGTCCTCTGCGGCAAGGAGCACACACCAGGGAAGATCTTCGTCTTGATCGTCCAGTCTGCTTTGGAGCGTGGCTGGTATCGGGTTGCTCGGGCACATCCAATACGTGTGCGCCTAGCCACCGTCGACACTACCACATTCCTCGCACTTGTCACTGAAGAGATCCGGCCAGATTCTGCTCAGTATGCGGGGAGTTAGGGTGCTATGTAGCTGAAGTCTTCTCCACGTCGATTCTTGGGTTCGCGAGAGCCGCTTATGAGGGGCGCCCATGAACTTGCGCTGCATTCGGAAACTTCTTAGAATATCGTTGTACGCTCGGGGGCCTCTGTCGTATGGCGAGGCCCCGTAGCAGTGGTCTCCGTCCGTTGTGGCTCGGCAGCTCGTCGCCCGAATTTGTTGTGCACGGGTTACGAGTGCGTGGGCCTCTTCGTTCCCCGAGTGTCCAGAGTGTCCGGACACCCAGGTTAACGAGAATTTGGATCCTGTCTGCGGTATCTTCTTCTGAAGGATCATGCTGGCTGTCTTGCCAACCTTTCCATCACCAAAGTTCGAGATGGCCGTTCTCGAGTCTGAGGTGATTGTGGCTTGTTTGGTTCTGGATGCCGCCATGGTTAAGGCCAAGGCGACGGCTACTTCTTCTGCCTCGTCAATATTCTCCGCACAGACCGAGGCCATAGTCTTGTCGTTGGTGCTGCAGACTGCTATCACGTACTTGTTCCATGTTCCTGGGCACGGACCTGCGTCCGCGTGGTAAACATGTTTCCGGTCGCCGTAAAGCTGGTCCAGCGCTTTGGCTCTGGCTTCTCTCCTGTCCTTATTTCTCTCGGTGTCCATGTTTTTCGGTAGGGGCGGAACTCGTACCGAATCTTTCCATTCTTGGGATATTGCAATTCTGCTTGTGAGGACGTGTTGTTCACATTCCTTGATTCTCTGGAGAGTCCTGCGTCCCGTTTCCGTTCTAGAGAGCCGTAGTACTTGCGACTGCTTCTGTGCAGATCTCATTTCCTCGAAGCTGTTGTATATTCCTAGTTGTTCCATCGCTTCTGTAGACGTGGATACTGGTATGCCTAGTGCTATCTTGAAAGCTTTCCTCACAATTCCGTTGAGTTGCTTGATCGAAGCCTCGGTCAGGTTCATGTACGGCGACGCGTACATTATCCTGCTGAGGACGAAGGCTTGGACTAGTCGGCATGTTCTATTCTCCTTCAATCCGTAGCTCTTTTGTGATACTCTTCTCACGAGTCTCGCTACGTTGTTGGCGTTTCTCTTGATGTCAGCGATGGGACTGCTCCGCTCCCTCTTGATGGTTACCGTCATGCCGAGAATTCGAACTTTTTCGGCTCTCGGTACGTCGATTTTTTGCAGCTTGAGGTAAAATTCCATCTCTTCTCTTAGAGCTCTCTGCGACGGTGGTCTGACTAGGAGCGCCGATTTTTCAGTTGCAAGCTCCAGACCCATCTTTGCAGCTTCTTTGACAATTTCTATGCCGGTTTTCATCACTTTCCCCATGTATGGTGAGTGGTGCGCTGTCCAAATTGTGATGTCGTCAGCGTAGATTGCGTGCTGCAGCACCGCGACTTGCTATAGTTTCCTCGACATTGGCAGCATGGCAATGTTGAAGAGGAGCGGCGATATTACTGCTCCTTGAGGAGTTCCGCTGCCAACATTTACTGGGAAGGTTCCGGACGTGTCTCCTTCTAGCTGAATGTTTGCCGTCCTATCTGATAGGAACGAGCGAACATAGTTGTACGTTCGCTTCCCTGGTCCTAGCTTCGAGATTTGCCTGAGTATAGCCGCGCGTGATATGCGATCAAATGCTTTCTTCAGATCGATTGCTGCTAGAACGGTCCATTTCTTATTGTCTTCTTCCTCTCTTAGCTGTATAAACACGTCCTGCGTCGACAGGTGTCTTCGAAATCCGAACATATGGTGCGTAAACAGGTTGTTCTCCTCCATGTACTCTTGAACACGTACTTGAATAATGCGTTCCAGTAGCTTGCCCACGCAAGATGTGAGGAAAATCGGGCGCAAGTTTTCCAACATGAGTAGCTTGCCCGGTTTCGGTATAAAGCAGACCGTGGCGTGTCGGAAACTGCTTGGAATGTTTCCGCTAGTCCGTAGCTCGTTAAAGTATTCCGTGATTAGCTCCACGGAATTGTCGTCGAGGTTTCGTAGCCTGCGGTTCGTAATCTTGTCTTGGCCTGATGCGGAAGTTGTTTTGACTCCAGCCATGGCCTTTCTGACTTCGCATTCGGTGATGGGCGCGTCCAGCTTGTCGTTTATGGCCCCTCGTATTCCGTTGGAATCTCAGTAGTAGATGGCGGAGATTCGAAGTATTGCGTCCTGAGTTTGTTGTAGATTTCGTCATCCTTGAGGTCTCTGACGAGTTTCGCTAGGAGTTTGCGCTTCTCGAGTTTGGTATCTTCTGGCGCCAACATGCGCCTGAATAGGGTCCATGGACTCTTGGTGTGAAGCCTCCCCTGCAGTTCGTCACAGATTTGCTGCCACTGTTGTTGATTTAATTTCTGAGCGTGTTCTTCAATCTCCTTACTAAGCTTGGCCGCTTTTTTCCTCAATTTACGGTACCGCTTTCCGGTGTTCCT